TGAGGCAGGAGAATCGCTTGAACCTGGGAGGCTGAAGTTGCAATGAGCCAAGATCGTGCCATTGCACTCCAGCCTGGACGACAAGAGCAAAACTCCATCTTAAAAAACAAACAAAAAACCACACTTACATGATGCAGTACCTTCTGTTTACCAGGGGCAGAGGCTAAAGACTTTTAACTCTATATTTCTATCTTCATATTGTTACTCTGAAGTCTTAATATTCAATCTGAGAAAGAAAAATTACCAGAACATGCTCTTGAGTTTTCAAAAGTATATTTTTGTATGTACAGACACTATTCAATAAATACCTGTCTACACTATTTAGATTCTGTGAGAAGCAAAACTACAGTTATCAGTGTGGGCTGAGGTTTTCTGCAAAAGGTTTTATTTACTTGAGTGATATATAAGGTGGACCTTGAAGGAAATCTAAGGGATCATATAGGTAAAAGGATTCCAGTCGATGAAGTAAAACCATCACATTTTCGCTTTAACTCTAGTCTTCCTAAAGATTCAAACCTAGGCCGGACACAGTGGCTCATGCCTGTAATCCCAGCACACTGGGAGGCCGAGGCGGGTGGATTGTTTAAGGCCAGGAGTTTGAGACCAGCCTGGGCAACATGGCAAAACCTCATCTCTACCAAAACATAAATAGAAAAAATTAGCTGGGTCTGGTGGTGCATGCGCCTGTGGGCCCAGCTAGTTGGGAGGCTGAGGTGGGATGTTGCAGTGAGCCGAGATTGCGCCATTGCACTCCAGCCTGGGCAACAGAGCGAGACCCTGTCTCCAGAAAAAAAAAAGAAAGATTCACTGACTGCCATACAATTTGGAAATAGAAGGGAGGGAAGGGGAAGAAGGAGAAGAAATGGGCGGGCGCGGGGGCTCACGCCTGGAATCCCAGCACTTTGGGAGGCCGAGGCAGGCGAATCACCTGAGGTCAGAAGTTGGAGACCAGCCTGGCCAACATGGTGAAACCCCGTCTCTACTAAAAAGAAACACAAAAATTACCAGGCGTGGTGGCGCAGGCCTGTAATCCCAACCACGTGGGAGGCTGAGGCAGGAGAGTCCCTGGAACCTGGGAGGCGGAGATTGCAGTGAGCCAAGATCGCGTCACTGCACTCCAGCCTGGGCAACACAGCGAGACTCCATCTCAAAAAACAAAAAAAGAGAAATGGGGGAAGACAGGGGAGAAGGGAAGTGCATATAGAAAGAATGGAAGAAAAACAGTGAGCCAAAAGCAGACATCTCCTAAAATTCATTTCATCGACGTTTACTGAGCGTGTAAGTTGTGCCAGGCACTCCAGCCTGGGCAGAATTCTACAGATGAGAAAATAGGCTTCGTGAGGTTCAGTAATCTGCCTGCAATCCTACAACTTATAAGACAATGTGAAATACTAAGACGTATTTTTAAAGGGCCTATAGCATATTCTCTGACAGAGATGCTCAGTCTCTTCGGAATGATTCTGATCTAGTCGGAATAACTGTCATACAATTAGAATGATTCTGTAGAATTATATCACAAAGTTAGTAGGCAAAATAACTTGAAGAATTCCATTCTGATTCATCTTAGGGACCTTTTTTAGACAGGGCCTCGCTCTGTTGCCCAGGCTAAAGTGCATGAGTGTGGCTCACTACAGCCTCGGCCTCGGGCTCAAGGGATTCTACCACTGCAGTCTCCCTAGTAGCTGGGACCACAGGCGTGTGCCACCAGGCCCAGCTAATTTTTTCATTTTTTTGTAGAGACAGTTTTTGCTGTGTTACCCAGGCTGGTCTTGAACTCCTGGGTTCAAGTGATCCTCCGGTCTTGGTTTCCCAAAGCACTGGAACTACAGGCGTGAGCCTCCCCACCGGGCTGGGGCCTAATGATACTTTAAGTCAAGCTTGTCCAACCTGCAGCCCGCAGGCCGCACGCGGCCCAGGATGGCTTTGACTGGGGCCCAACACAAATTCGTAAACTTTCTTAAAACATTATGAGAGATTTGTGTGTGTGTGTGTGGTTTGTTTGTTTGTTTGTTTTTTGTTTCAGCTCATCAGCTATTTTTGGTGTGTTTTGTGTGTGGCCCAACACAATTCTTCTTCTTCCAATGCGGCTCAGGGAAGTCGAAAGATTGGACACCCCTGCCTCTGCTCGCTTTCCTTAACAGAGGATTTGCCCAATTACCACTTTGTTTTTTCTTTGAATAGTTACTTAGAATTAATTCCCTAGGTACTTGGGAGGCTGAAGAGAGGGGATTGCTTGAGTCTGGGAGTTCAAGACTACAGTGAGCTGTGATGGTGACACTGCATTACAGCCTGGGGGACACAGTAGACCCTACCTTAAGAAAATAAAGGAGGCTGGGTGCAGCAGTGGCTCCTGCCTGTAATCCTCGCACTTTGGGAGGCTGAGGTGGGAGGATCCTTTGAGCCCAGGGTTTCAAGGCCAGCCTGGGCAACATAGTGAGACTCTGTTTCTACAATAATAATAATAATAAGCTGAGTGTGACGTCATGCACTTGTAGTCCCAACTACTCTGTAGGCTGAGGCAGGAGGATTTCTTGAGCCTGGGAGGTCAAAGTTACAGTGAGCCATGATGATGCCACTGCACTTCAGCCTGAGTGACAGAACAAGACTGTCTCAGAAACAACAACAACAACAAAAAAAAAAGCCGGGCACAGTGGCTCATGTCTGTGATCCCAGCACTTTAGGAAGCCAAGGCAGGAGGATCCATTGAAGCCAAGAGTTTGAGACCAACCTGCGCAACAGAGTGAGACCCCCTGAGACCCCATCTCTAGAAATAGTAAAAAGTTAGCCAGGCGTAGTGACATGCACCTGCAGTACTAGCTACTCGGGAAGATCGCTCGAGCCCAGGAATTGGAGGTTATAGTGAGTTGTGATCAAGCCACTACACTCCAGCCTGAGTGACAGAGGGAGATCCTGTCTCTGAAAAAAAAAATTGTTAATAAAAAAGAACTAATTCTACCCTACTTAATGGTTAAGATGAAAGGCGGTTGGAGGCCGGGCATGGTGGCTCACGTTTGTAATCCAAGCACTTTGGGAGGCCGAGGCAGGTGGATCACCTGAAGTCAGGAGATCAAGACCATCCTGACCAACGCAGAGAAACCCCGTCTCTACTAAAAATACAAAATTAGCCGGGCGAGGTGGCGCATGCCTGTAGTCCCAGCTACTTAGAAGGTTGAGGCAGAGAATCGCTTGTATCCGGGAGGCGGAGGTTGCAGTGAGCCTAGATCACGCCACTGCACTCCAGCCTGGGCAACAGAGCAAGACTCTGTCTCAAACAAAGTGAAAAAAGAGAAGAAAGGCGGCTGACGTCTAGAGGAGGGCGGATCTCGGTGGAAGCACTCTTGCTGCTGGCTGTGTGCTTGTTTGCTGTGCTGTCAGGGCGCCTCCCTGTGGACTCACTCACACAATGATTCTTCCAACAGTTCTTTTCAAACGACTGTGACCTCCCTGACTAAAAGCTTTCCAAGGATTCCCACCACAGTTGGAATAAAACCTGAATTTCTCAGTCAGGCCTCCGAGGTCCTGTGTGGTGCCCTTACCTACCTCCAGCCTCATCCTGTCGTCCCCTCAACCCTCACTAGGCTAGAGCCTCCGGAGTTTTCTTTCCGTTCCTGGAAGGTATCCAGGTCTTGATGGCTTCAGGATTTGGGCATATACTTTTTCTTATTTTTTTTTTTTTAGAGTTCCCTTAACCCTATTTTTCTATTCTTTTTTCCTTTTTTCTTTTTCTTTCTTTTTTCATTTTTTTTTTTTTTTTTGAGACAGAGTCTCATTCTGTCACCCAGGCTGGAGTGCAGTGGCACGATCTCAGCTCACTTCAACCCCCACCTCCCGGGTTCAAGCGATTCTTCTGCCTCAGCCTCCCGAGTAGCTGGGATTACAGGCACACGCCACCACGCCCAGCTATTTTTCGTATTTTTAGTAGAGACGGGGTTTCACCATGTTGGCCAACCTGGTCTCAAACTACTGACCTAAGGTGATGCCCCTGCCTCAGCCTCCCAAAGTGCTAGGATTACAGGCGTGAGTCCCGGTGCCTGGCCAAGCCTGTTTTTCATGTGGTGGGCTTACGTATCCTTCAGGTATTGAATGAACCATCGCTTCCTTGAGAGAGTCCCTCTCAGACCTTCCAGAGTCTAATGTACCTCGAATGAACCATCGCTTTCCCAAGAGTCCCCCTCAGGCCTTCCAGAGTCTAATGTACATCGAATGAACCATCACTTTCCCAAGAGAGTCCCTCTCAGGCCTTCCAGAGTCGAATGGACTCTTCCCTTGTTATTTCCTCCCACAGCCTGTCAAGCTTTCCTTTTCTATCATTTTGCACAATTTTTGAAAGTTTACACGTTTATCTGTTTTTAACCACCTCTCTTCTGTTAGACTGCAAGCTCTATGAGCGCAGGGAATATGTCTGTTTAGATCTCCATGATTTTCCTAGAGCCTAGCTCAGTGTCTGGTGCTGAATAAATATTTTTCTTAATGACTATTGAGTCCTCACAATTGCCAAGCACTTGGTGACCTGCAAAAAGAAAGCGTTTTCACACGTGTTCTCAATGAAACCTAACAATCTCTGAGATACTTCAGTCAGGGTGGGTGTTTGTGTGTGTGTGTGTGTGTGTGTGTGTGTGTTTTATAGAAAATAAAAAAGTTGGAGATTTGACTTGGCCAAGTTCACACAGCTGGAGGCCTGGGTGGGAAGTCAGTTCTTTTCATCATTTTGACCAGTGTTCTTCCTACCAAAATGAGAAATCTGTGTGGGAAATATGGACACACCAGTAATGTGCCTGGGAACTGATCTCCGCCCTGATTCGCCCTGATTCTTCGAACTGCTGTATTACTCACTTTCCTCTCTTCATGATTGTTGGCTAAATTTCCCATTGTGTGATAGCGGAAAGCTAGTTCCCGTTCCTTATTGATTTACACTTATAAAAGGGAACCTTAAGCCACTGGCTGAACTGAATGGAGGTAGAATGTATTTTCAATTTAGAAACCTGGTCTTTCCATTGCAGAGTCAGAATGAATATATTGCTAACCTCAAGGACCAACTGCAAGAGATGAAAGCAAAATCCAACTTGGAGAATCGCTACATGAAAACCAATACTGAGCTGCAGATTGCCCAGACCCAGAGAAAGTGTAACAGAACAGAGGAAGTCTTGCTGGAAGAGATTGAGGTAATCCCTGGGACATTAGTGAAGAACCCAGGAGATGGCATTTGAGCTGTCACTCCTGATCTTGTCTCAGCTAACAAAGGAGGGAGATGAAGATTTCCCTCCATCTCTCTCGGCAACAGCCCCTCCACTTGAGGTTGAAAATGAAAGCCTAAATGAGGATACACATGTTCGCAAGCGGAGATTCCAACGGGCTGTAGCCTCCTTCTCCTGCCTCATAATGACTTTGAAAATTGGCTGTACTTTCTCTCCTCAGTCACTTCTTCTTATTTTATCAAACCAATCGCCATTTCTCTAATTATAGGGAGAGGGCAAAACAAGATCCTTAGTTATGGCACGATTTTGCTGCTGTTTGTTTTATCTAACCAGTACCTTTCACTCCTCCAGTAAGAAATACAGCATCTCGAGAGGTGAACTTCATTCAAACCTGAATTTATGGAGATGAGAAGTCATGGTGAAAAATATCAGGAGGAAGAAAGTGGTAGATCTTCTTTGAGGGGAATGCGAAATGGCGCACGCGCGCGCGCGCACACACACACACACACACACACACACACACACACACTGCACACACATACGCAAAGTCAGGCACTAGTCCCAGCTAATCGGAGGGGAGGCAGGAGGATCCTTGAGTTTGAAGCCAGCCTGGGCAACATAGGGAGACTCCCTTCTCTCTCTCTCTCTCTCTCTCTCTCTCTCTCGCACACACACACACACACACACACACACACACACACAGAGCAGCAGGCAGATGGGAAGAGGGAAGAAGGAACAAACGTCCTTAGACCATGGAATTTGTGTGTGGGAGGACTCCTTGCTCTGAGACTAACGTGGCTTAAGGCCACGACAACAGTCTTCCTGGCACTCTGGAATTTCCCTTTTTTAGGCCCCACAGCCTTGTGCCCTTGGAGCACCGATTCTCTCCTTCAATGGGCACCTCTTTTCAATTCACGGGATTGCTCACGGGATTGCGCTCCTTTCGTTAGGGACACTAACACAGTCCAGACAGTGCCGCGTCATGTGTCTCTGCGGTGTTTGTGAACAGGAATTGCACGAAACTGAATTCCCGGCATCCCAGCTGGTAAAGGAAACCTGAGCTGCCGACCAAGCTGCTCCTCTGATCTTGAGAACTTCTGATTCACAGCCCTGCAGGGAAGACGTGCTGATGTCTGATTATTGTTCTTACAGAAACTCAGGATGAAAACCGAAGAAGAGGCCCGGATTCATATGGACATTGAAATGTTCCTTAGAAAGCAGCAGCAGGTGGGTCACCAAAACTTTTCTGTGCTTTGAGTTTTTTTGTACTCTGCTCATACTGAGGAAACAAAAAAAATATTTTGAAGAAAAACCAGCCATCATTCTTTCAGCCTAATGAGCTTGAGCTCACATGTTATTTCAGGGTTATGCATCTGAATAGATATATAGTTACAGTCTGAGAGAGTACAAGTAAAATTTTGTTTTCTGCTTTTATCATTGAGCTTAGATAAGAAATTTTTTGATTCCTATATTGCTGTATACTCATAATTTTTAAATTGTGACTTAATTTATGACAAAATTTATTAAGTCAAATTATGACTTAAAAATTTATGGGCCGGGCACAGTGGCTCACGCCTGTAATCTCAGCACTTTGGGAGTCTGAAGCGGGTGGATCACCTGAGGTCAGGAGTTCGGGACCAGCCTGGCCAACATGGTGAAACCCCCCTCTCTATTAAAAATACAACAATTAGCCAGGCGTGGCGGTGCACCTGTAATCCCAGCTACTCAGGAGGCTGAGGTGGGAGAATTGCTTGAACCTGGGAGGCAGAGGCTGCAGTGAGCTGAGATTGTGCCACTGTACTCCAGCTGGGCAACAGAGCAAGACCCCGCCTCAAAAAAAAAAAGACATAATTTTAAAATTAATTATTTTTAATTATGACTATATTAAAATGTTTTCCCATTAGTATAGTGGCCAATAAATAAAAAAGAAAAATAAAGGCCAGGTGCGGTGGCTCACGCCTGTAATCTCAGCACTTTGAGAGGCCGAGGCCGGCGGATCACCTGAGGTCAGGAGTTCTAGACCAGCCAGGTCAACATGATGAAACCCCATCTCTACTAAAAATACAAAAATTAGCCGGGCGTGGTGGTGCAGCCCTGTAATCCTAGCTATTCGGGAGGCTGAGGCAGAAGAATCGTTTGAACCTGGGAGGCAGAGCTTGCAGTGAGCCGAGATCACACCACTCACTCCCGCCTGGGCGACAGAGCGAGACTCTGTCTCTAAAAAAAAAAAAAAAAAAAGATTTACTAATTTTTTACGTTATAAAAATAACATTCCCAGTTGAGTGAGGATTTTTAAAATGACTCATTGCTTTTCATTTTTTTATGTTATTACAGTTTCTTTATAAAATAATTGAAAATCGTTGTTTAATGTTCCATTGAATGGTTGTGCCATAGTTTGTTACAAATTTTTTTTTAATATTTAGGTTGTTTCCAAAGTTTTATTATTATAAATAATGCACTTATTAAAGCTTAGCCCAAAGAACTATTTTTCTTCATGGCAACTATTTACTAAAAGTAAATCTCAATCATAAGATGATTATTTCAGAGACTGATATTTTGTGACTTTCGATAAACATTGCCGACGCTCTAATCTGTGCTGCCACTAGCAGTGTTGCAGGCAGTCATTTCAAGGTCTCTTCAACGTTAGTAGCCATTTTAAATATTTTTCAAAGTCTGCTAATTTAGTGAGTTGTTTTGTTTTTTTTGTTTTTTGTTTTTTTTTTGCTTATTAATAGAAGTGAACATAACATTTTTCCATGTTTACTCAATTTATTTCTTCTTATGTGAAATATATATGACAGAAGTGGTTTTAAAAGCATTTTCAATACTAATAACCAAGCTGGGTCTATAATATATCTAAGGTTAGAAGTATGTCTAAGTGTAGCTGGAGTCTTTCTTTACTTTGTTTTTTGGGGTTTTTTTTTGAGATGCAGTCTTGCTTTACCATCCAGGCTAGAGTGCAGTGGCATGATCTCGGCTCACTGCAACCTCCACCTCCTGGGTTCAAGCGATTCTCCTGCCTCAGCCTCCGAGTAGCTGGGACTACAGGTGCCTGTCACCACGCCTGGCTAATTTTTGTATTTTTAGTAGAGACGGGGTTTCACCATGTTGGCCAGGCTGGTCTAGAACTCCTGACCTCAGGTAATCCACCTGCCTCAGCCTCCCAAAGTGTTGGGATTACAGGCGTGAGCCACCGCGCCAGCCACCGCGCCCAGCCCCAGCTGGAGTCTTTCAAAATATCCCTGTTGGATGAACAAAGAGAAAATTTTCCAGCTTAGTTATAATACAGCTTGCTTTTGGGAAAAGCTAATGAGTTTTCAGTCAACGATTCCAAATGTGTGGTTAAGGAGAATTTGTAGATGCTATCTCGCAGGTCTTTACTGAAAAAAATATCTGGTAGGCTATTAGAATTAGGGTTCTGTAGCCCTGCAGTTTCAGAATGATGTATCATGTTACCTGTTTCAAGTGTGAGATACCTGGCAGGTGTTGGATATTTATCAGTGAGTTGTTGGATAAATGGATCGCGAAGGGATGACGCCAGAGTTTCTCAGATCTTCAGCCCAATAACACAAGCAATACATAAGTATGTATTTTTTTATTTTTTATTTTTTAGGGGCAGGGTCTCTCTGTTTCCCAGCCTTCGGTGCAGTGGTGCCATCATAGCTCACTGCAGCCTCAAACTCCTGGGCCCAAGTGATCCTCCCACCTCAGTCTTCTGAGTAGCTGGGACTACAGCTGTGCACCACCATGTCCAGCTACAATGTAAGACAGAAATACATAAATTAAAGAAAGTGAAAGCCCTCTTAAATTACTCCCCTTTCTGAAGGGAAGTTTCTTCCACATGTATTTCTTTTCATGTACTTATACCTCAAAACGTACATATTTTCAGTGGTTTTCTGTTTTGCTTTGTTTTTTAAGAGGAGTCTCGCTCTGTCGCCCAGGCTGGAGTGCAGTGGTGCGATCTCGGCTCACTGCAACTTCCGCCTCCTGGGTTCAAGTGATTCTCCTGCCTTAGCCTCCAGAGTAGCTGGGATTATAGGCACCCGCCACCTCGCCCAGCTAATTTTTGTATTTTTGGTTTCACCATGTTGGCCAGGCTGGTCTAGAACTCCTGACCTCAAGTGATCTGCCCACCTTAGCCTCCCAAAGTGCTGGGATTACAGGCGTGAGACACCGCGCCCGGCCTAGTGTTTGTTTTTTACGTAAATTGGATCATACTATATATAGTGTTCCAGAGCCTGTTTTTTCCTTTTTACATTTACTTTGTTTTTAATGTTTTCTGTAGCAATACAACTGACAGATAATATCTCATAGTCAGAATACACTGAAATTTAGTGAACCATTCTGTCAGTACATTTAGGTTGTTTCAGGTTTTGCTGTGACAACATTACGAAACCTTCTTGGTTCTGTCTCTAAGTGGATGGTATTTGGAAAGGCTATTTATTTTGTGTATTGCTGTGGATTCCTTAGACCCTCTAGTGGTTTTTCAGTTGATTCATTTGGATTTCCTAGGTGGAAAATCTTATCGCATGCAAACAATAACAATTCTGTATTTTCCTTTTTATTATTTGTATGTCTATTTTCATTTCATGGCTTATTGTATAGCTGGAAAGCCAGTGTACTTGTTAACTGTAGCAGTGATAATGGGGCACCCTTTCTCTATTGTCAGTTGTTAACACACCACCATTGTTCTGGTGTTTTAGTCAGGATTACACGTGAGTTTGTCACAGTCAAGTTTCTGATATGCAAGTTAGAGCATTCACAGGGAAAGAACCGACCCTGAAACTTGGAATGGGAACACCTGCTCGGATTCGGATGAAACCGACAGATCAACGCTCCCTTGGCAGTGGAAGTACTCTGCCCTCCTGGGTCTCAGGACACTTCCTTTGCCTGAAAGTCCTGTGATAACTTCATCTGGGAGGATGCCTTGGAAAGGGATGCGCTTTCCTCAGACCCGGCACAGTCACCCCTGTTGTCACTGGATCTGTAACTAGGTCAAATCTTAGCATGTTACAGGGGGACATATAACTCAGATAACTCACTCCAAAGGAAATCACTTACACACCAAAAGAATGGTAAGATTTTACTAATAAATATTGGAAGAAACCTGGGAAACATGTTGAATTGATTCTAAGAGTGTTTGATCCAACAGGGTAGGCTAGAACATTCCATTTGGTTAATTCATTGATACAGACGCACTTACCTGAGAGTCTAGGTGTCATGGGTTAGCTTGTGCAGCTAGGGGTGATTCAACAGTTGCCTACATTTGATGAGGTGGAGATGCTAGAGCTTCCCTGCTATGATTTGGGGGAGACAATCCAGAGACGTAGGGAGACAGGAATGTCACAGTGGATTTATCATGTGTGACTTGCACATCTACCACCAAACACCCATCCATAACCATGAGAAGGCCCAGAAGACACTTCTTTACTAAGACATTGAGAAACAGAATAGTGAGGGGAGCATCTGCATCCCTAAAAGCTCTGTGCTTGCTTTCCTGTGTAGGCAGGTGTGACCCTAAGGATGTTGTCACTGAGATGAGCTTCCTGATATCAGTGGGCTGATGGGGTCCCGAAGTGCCTTAGGATAACTGGGAGCACTTAATTGTCAAAGATAAGGTGGGAACATTTACCACAAAGGGGGGCAGAGACTTAACGGTAATCAGAATGCCTTTGGCCGTAGGGATTCTTGGCAATGGCTAATCAATCATGGTATCTCTAGGAACAAAATTGATGGGCTGCCTACTAAAGTATAACAGAAAAAGAGTCCGAGTCTGGTAGCCAGAACCCTGATTTGAATCACCACAGTAGAGAGTTACGGCAGCTCCCCTAGCTCCTAGGACTGAGTCAATTCACAGCCCCAGAGCCCCTTTATGAACTGGGGTGTAGGTGTGAGGGCATGTCCCCCCGAGGATGAACTCTGCAGCCCTGCTGCAAGTACCTACTGTAAGTCTCCCTGTAGCTCCTACTCAGAAGACCTGTGTAATTTACAGAGTGACTGTGCACTGGGATGACTGAAGCTTTGGCTCTGAACTGATGTTCATCCACAGGGACCCACAATGACACTGCGGCCACTAGTCAAAATGGGCAGTCATGGTGGCTAGGTGACAGATGGAGCCTGAACTAGCCTGACTGTGAGTCCACCTGTTCCGTGGACCCTCTCTGTCTTTGTTTCCTCCGTTACTGAGGCTGTTATTGGACTAGATATACTTGGGGACATTATGATAG